GCCCTTATTCCCAATGGATGCTGTTTGTATGCAGAACTTTTGGAGGTAATTAGGTCATGGGGGTAGAGCCCTCATGAATGAGATTAGTGTCCTTGTAAGAAGGGACACAAGAGATGATTTCTGTATCCACCATGTGAGCATACAGCAAGAAGGCAGTCATATGTAAACCAGAAAGGGAGTCCTCTCCAGGAAATGAATTGACTGGCACCTTGATCGTGGCCTTCTCAGCCTCCAGACTGTGAGGAATAATTTCTGTTGTTTACGCCCTGCAGTCTATTATACTTGTTATGGCAGCTGATGAAGCTAATGCCAAGATAAAATCCTGGTTATTTACCTTGCTATTATGCCTCATGTCTAAATCATAAGCAGGATCTTCAGTCCTACTTAAGCAGCATACCAGAATCCATTGAACGGATTTCATCTTTACTGTCATTGTCCTCATCACAGCCCCATCTTCCTCCATTCCTCCAGTGGCAGCCACACTGGTTTCTCTGCCCTCTCTAGTGACCCTTCTACCTAAATCCACAGAGAAAACAGGGCAATCTTCTAAAATTGCAAATTAGATCATATCATAGATTAGAAAACTTTAATTGTTCTCAATGGACTTGGGGAAAAAATAAAAAACAAAAAAACAAAAAACACCCAAACATCGGCACAGTGTTTCAGAGTGTATGACACGGCCTATGACATTCTAGAAGATCTGACCTCCTCACTAGTCTCTGGTCTCATCTGGGATGCTTTCCCATCACCTGTTTTGTTCCAGCCACATTGGTCATTGTTCTTTCCTTCAAATACACTATTATCTAATTTACTTATTTTCTACTTTTGTTGTTGCTTTTTTTCTTTTTCTGAAACAGGAGCTCACTCTGTCACCCAGGCTGGAGTGCAGTGGTGCAATTGTAGCTCACTGCTTGAACTTGAACTTCGGAGCTCAGGCAATCCTCCCACCTCAGTCTCCTGAGCAGCTGCGGCTACTGGCAAACTCCGCCATGCCTGGTTTATCTTTTTTACTTTGAGTATAGATGAGGTCTTGCTATATAGCCCAGGTTGGTGTTTTCTAGATTTTTGTTGTTGTTTGTTTGTTTTTTGAGATGGAGTCTCGCTCTGTCATCCAGGCTGGAGTGCAGCAGCATGATCTAGGCTCACTGCAACCTCCACCTCCTGGGTTCAAGCGATTCTCCTGCGTCAGCCTCTTGAGTAGCTGGGATTACAGGTACACGCCACCATGCCCAGCTAATTTTTGTATTTTTAGTGGAGATGGGGTTTCACCATATTGGCCAGGCTGGTCTCAAACTCCTGACCTTGTGATCCACCCACCTCAGCCTCCCAAAGTGCTGGGATTACAGGTGTGAGCCACCGTAATTTTTTACTACACCCCCTCTAGTTTTTTACTACGTCCCCTCACTAGACCATTAGCTTCTTGAGGCAATGGATCTGTTTTTCATTTCACTATCCTTTCTCCAGCACTTAGACCAGGACCTGGACTGTAAGAGGCCCTTAGCAGACATTTGTTGAATGAATTAATTACTAGAAAATGAGAGCTTGTGAAAGTAGGCTGAATCGAATGAGAAAGGTAATGACAGTAGGAGAAATAATAGCACACCCTTGGAAAAGAAATTCGTGAGGCAAGAAATCACACAACAAAAGGTAAAACTTAAAGATATTCTGGATGTTAGGTTTTAATAAGTTTGGATCATGCAACCCTTTACAAATGTTATGACATTGATCAGCCTATATTTTTCAGAGTGTTCCTTGGATACTCTGAATCTCAATCCAGATCCTCTCAGCAAGGGTCATGGATGCCAGAATAACAATGTCTAGAAGGTGATCAGTGACAGCTTTACCCTCTGGGGGAACACTTCATTCTGAAGTTTAGCTTCCATTTTACATTGCCACTTTTTTGACATGTCAACCATTATCTCAAATTCTCCCTTTAGACAGACAGAAATGAGAGTACCTGGCTGGTGCTGTATTAACCTTGAGAAATTTTAGATTAGGTAAGGTTGTGTAGGATAAAATATGAAACAAAAAAATTACCTTAAGAATTTGTTTCCCACAGTGGAGTTCCTCCAGATACAGCCAACTTTGCTAGGTTTTACTTAATTATAATTAAAATATCATTATTAAAATTTCTCAGGAATTACACTGTGCTCATAGCTTCCAGAAAGAAGTAAATTATTGTCAAACTGTGTGGATACAGATCCATGGGTTGAATATAGTTTTTCCATTGGATTAGTCTAAAAGGTAAAAGAAAATGCATGTCTTTAGAGCATTTCCTCTTGTGCACATCAAATATACAGTGTGTTGAAGGCCTGGGAGGCCACCCAACCTCCTACCTGTTGGATTACACTAGGATAGTGTCACATTTTACTAACGCTCCCTAGAATATCTTATTTTAGAAACATATTCCGCCTCATTTTATCTGAGTTTGCTCAAGAAACTGAAATCGTCGTGTCCTGAGCTCAATGCCGTGTGCAAGGTCTCTGGTTAGCACACAGAAAACTCTAAGGAATCGTAATTCAGTGATTCTTGCCATCTGCAAGCCTGTGGAATTCAGGTGCCCACAGGAAGGAATGGAGAGGTTTTTCCAGCCTGACCGTATCACCTGTCTCACCACAAGAACCTTCTGTTTTGGCTGTCGTCCCTCTGTCAGACTCAGGCTGTTCTTTATGGTCAAGTGTGAGTTTAATGTGTCTGCTTTACATTCTGTTGGTGAAGTGTTTCTCTCAGTTCCAAGCTCCTTTCCTTCCATCCAATGGCTGGACTGCTTTGTATTCATGTTTGTTTTTTAAGAGGAGGTAGGATGGGTGGATGTTAGGGACCGTAAAACAACTCTAGAAGTTTAAATTCACAAAGTAGTGAAATTAATAATAATAAGGAGAAAGAGAGGCACTGTTAGTGCAGAGAAAATCCAGCAAGTAGGATTGGTGGTGTAAGGATGTGGTAGATGATTAAATAACTATGTGAGTGTGGAGTAGGCAGTAACAGTAACCATTTTTTTATTTTTATTTTTTGGTGAATTAAGCAGAAGTTTTAATGACTATCCCTTTTTCATATTTGTGAGGTGTGGGATGCTATAAGCTATAGTACTGTGGCACAGGGCTTAGTGGGGAGGAACACAGTTTTAAAATTTCTCTTAGAACTCAGCCCACTGGAATTATGAAAGCAGCCTCAGTAAGTAAGATAGACTTGCATGCGTCTAGTTACTGAGGTGTAGGAAAAGGAATGACTCTAGTTACTGGAAACTAGTATTTGCATTGGACAACATTATTATTTGAATTGGATGGTGGAGGCAAAGGTACATCTTAACTTTATCAAACACGTTACAGATGCAATTCGTAATTCCTCCACTTAAGGCCATTATGCTTGTGGATACAGGATGACAGTTAATACTTTTAAAACACATTTTTAAAAATTACCTTTAAGCTCCTCAAGTATTCTAAGGATATTCTTAAGCTCCTTAAGAATTCCACCAATAATTTGTTTGCAGGTCAAAGACTGACACCTGCTATATCCTATTGTTGATTATTTTACAAAAGTAATTTAGTTATAGAGGCTGCTATAAAAGCCTGCCTCACTAATTTTGTGTGCCTAAAAGAATCAGAGAAACAGGCTTGGAAAAATATTTTCCCTCCCCAGGGAGTAAAACAGGTTGGGCTGTGCCCATCTAACAAAGTAGCTTGCATTTTAAGGTTACATTCACTGGGATGAAAAAAAAAAATATTTTAGTTCAGGTAATTTCTGAAGATAACTCAGTTCACGGTAAATGAAATATCTTCCTCAGAATAAGAGGAGCTCAGCGTTTAAGGGGCTTGCTTTTCTAAGTTCTCCTTCCCTTCCATTTTTATCAGTTGGATTGAGAGTGGGTGGTTCTCACTGATCACCACCAGGGATAGCTCAGAGCGCTGAGCCTTTGCAGCTTAGTAACTTGCAGGAAGCGCTTCCCTGTTCACTCACAGGCCCATCACGCTTCATTCTCCCTAGGGAGGGTGCACTCGAGGTTTGAGCGCGGGGGTGGAAATTGAGGCGTTTCCGTTCTATTTTGGTTTCTCCTACTGACTGGCTGCTCAGCTGTTCATGAGTCATCCTAACCTCAAAATCTGTCATTAAAACAGAAATAATGATACCTATTTTCTGTGCCTTACATGAATTGCATGAAGACATTATTCATATTTCTGAAATACATGTGAGAATTAGTCAAGGTTAGCTGTAAGAAAAAGTACAATGGAATTGTTTTTAATCCATGATAGCTATGCTTTTATCATTTAGATTTTGAGAATTCTCTATACTGAAAAATGAAGAATGAGAAGAGATCCCAATAAGGATTACATTTGACGAAACACTTATTTGATGAACTGGATTAAGATATATACAGTTTTTTAAAATATATGGCATAAGAATTTATTTATTCAAATGTTCACTTAATAACATTTTACGGAGCATCCTGGCACTGACTTCGACACTGGAATTACCACTATGACACAGAACCTCTACTAAAGGAGACCACTAGAAACAAGACTGCATGATTCGAGGTGACTGCATATGCAAATCTGGTGATATTTGAGAGATGGGCATTTTAATATCATCTATACTAGTGGTTCTTAAAGCAGAGATTAGGAACTTCAGAGAGAAAGAATTCAGGTTCATAGGAAGAAAAAAATCTACATTTACCGTAAATATGTTTTTCTACAGCTTATTTTATATTACTTAGTGGTTCTTTTTCTAAGCTTGTAAGTTTAATGTTTATATTTTACTCATTCATATTTAGAAATAAAAACATTAAAAGACATGCATTTGTCTCTGGATACCATTTTGTCCATATTCTATATATTGCTTTTCCTGTTTAGTGCTGTCAGTATTGTATAATAAATACTCTATAATTGTAACTTTTATTAGGTGATCCTATTAACATTTCTAAATGATAACATGCCTATGCTTTAGTTTTTGCTCTCAGCATCCAGCAAGCTTACATAAGCAGATTTGTTTGCAATAGCAGTTTCTTTTGTCTTTGTTGTGAAGTGCAAGTTCCTCATGTGAATTGTTATATACTTGACCTCTGGCTAGGAAGAGTGTTTTATGGCAGCCCCATTTAATTCTTCCTGGTCCAGCCATGCACAGGTTTCTACTGCACTAAGCATCTTCACCACACACTCCTGTAACCACACTTCTGCCAAACTGAATAGTCTTTATAGCAGGCCCCTACAAACAATAAAAGCAAGTTTCTTTATTTGGGTTTGGAGAATAAAAAAAGAAACGGAACCAACTACCCGCTCTTTATTATCTCATTCTAGGTCCAAGAGAAGATACCCTCATGAATTGGCATTCTCTCCTTGGGATAGATGGGAGAACTCTGTGTGTGATGTGATTGACCTCTCTTGGACTTGAGCTCAGTTATGTGGTTTCCTCTATTTCCTGTCCTGGGAAGAGATGAAAGAGTAGCCCTGAGCCACTGTGCAGCAGCATCCAGACACCATGGCTAGAATCCCAAATTCTTAGCCTCAGTCTATGAGCTGGGCTTAGATCTTTGATTATGTTGCCCTTTCCTCCCAAACAGGGCTGCCTCCTCAGTGGTTCCTCTCTCCCAGTCTTGTCACATGACATATGTGGTTCCTCTCTTAGTGCTTTATTTCCTCTACCAAACATCCATTCAGAAAGAATTATTATTGTCACACTGGTTTTAGCTCATTTAGGAGAAATAAAATTTAAAAAATATTTCTAAATAAATAAATTTATTCTTTTAGCTAGCTCATGCTGACCAATATATAAGATATTTTCTGATTCATCATATATTTTAAGCCAAAACACACTTGCCATCTGAACCCTAAACACATAAGTAGAACGTTTCCCTTTCTTTCGCTAAGGGACAAATTTCATAATATTTTGTGCAAAATGCACATACACAGGTGAGCATTTTCCTTCCCTTCTCACCTCCCAAAGTCAGGTAATGAAAAAACCTTAGAAACTTGTACAAGAATTTAATTGAAATTAGATCTTTAAAAAATTAGATAATTCTCAATTCTCTGCTTCTAATTCACCAGATTTTGCATGCTCCTTTGGGCATTCTCTCTTTCTCCTCACAGTTTCCTGGTTGCCATCACACAAAATGATCCTTGCTAAAGGTATCAGCATCAATCCCTAACCTCTCATTCTTCAACTATCCATTTAAATTCCATCAATAGGCTCATGCAAATTATAGATGTTGTGAATAATTCTTTTATTGGGAGAAATTGAAAGAACACTATTTTAACAGTTTAAAGTAATCAGCATCAAATTAACCTTGCTTAGTCTTGTTCTCAACTAGCAGCTAGTCTTCTGACCAGTCCCATGACCAAGTGCCCACATTTGTCACCAATAGCTGAATATCTGACATAGCCATCTTTGAGTATTTACCTGGAAAACCTACTCATCCTTTTCATTCTATTCCTTTGTCTTCATTCTCTCATCCATTCTCTTATGCTGTGGCATCCTACCCACTACCTCTTCATTAGTTAAGTGGTTGTTTCTTTCTGTCTACCCAGACTTCCTGGTGCCAATTCATGTCCTGCCCACATTTTTGCTGCTTGCCTCCTGCTTCCCTTTCCTCCATAGTCATGTTTACACTGACTTTCTTCTGAGACATCATCTGTAACCTCTTTAAGAACCTTCCTTATGTTGATGACCTATCTAAGGGGCCATCTGTCACCCACATGGTACTATTTTAGCACTAGGAAAGGTGGAAACTGCTCAGAATATTTATCACATGTCTTTAATAGGATCCTAACTTTCATGTACGACTTCTGAAGATACATTATAAGAGAAATCCAAACTGCAGAACAAAGGGTAAGTCTGCAAAGATGCTCAGTGTCTTCATTTGTAACAGAAAAATAATTAGAATATGCCAGCCACAAAAGAGTATTTAATAAAGAATAATAAACCATCCGATATACCTTAATGCAACTATTAAAATTATGTTTCTAAAGAGAAAGCACTGTAATTATATGGAAATATCACTACAATATTACGGTAATTTTTTAAAAAAAATTTAAGATTTACTTTATAGAGCATAACTAAGTCTTGTTTGCCTGTCTGTTTAACTTAGTCATAGAAGCCAAGACTGGAAAGAATAGAAGCAAGATAAATGCGAGTAACTATCACGTCGAAAGCCTACTTTCACCTTTTCTTCATTTTCCTTCTATTTTTCTTCATTTTCTAAATGTCTCTAATGATTAGTATGGTAGACAACCTCTAACATGGCCTCTTGTTGTACTCACCTTGTGCAGTTCACACCTGGATAGTCTCTCCTCTTGTTGAGGGTGAGCTGTACTTGTTTCTAACCAATAGATTGTGGTCAAGATGATGGGATGTCACTTTCATAATTAGATTACAAAAGATTGTGACTTATATCTTACTAGCAGACTTTATCACCTTCTTGGCTTTCATGCTTTGATAAACAAGCTGCCATCTGGGAGAAGCCCACCTGGCAAGGAATTGAGGGCAGCCTCTGGTCAACAGCCAACAAGGAACAGGGGGCTTTATCCCAACAACCTGCAAGAAAATGAATGCTGCCAAAACCACCTATTGAGCTTGGAAATAGCATCAATCAAGCCTTCCTCAGCCAAGCCTTCCGATGACACTGCAGACTTTGATTGAAGCCTTGTTAGAGAACATAAAGCAGAAGATCCAGTTAAGCTGTACTCAGATTCCTGACCCTTGGAAACTGTGAGACAATGAAAATGTGCTGTTTTCAACTACTAAATATTGGAGTTATTTGTTACAGAGCAATAACCAACTAGCATATGAAGGTATTGTTTTTATAACACAGTAGTAAACTTCTTTTAAAAAGGATATTCAAATAAAATGAATTTGAAATGGTAAATGACTTTGTCAACATTGTCTTAGTCCATTTTCACACTGCTATGAAGAAATACCTATGACTGGGCAATTTATAAAGGAAAGAGGTTTAATTGATGCACAGTTCCACACGGCTGGTGAGGCTTCAGGAAACTTGCAATCATAACAGAAGACAAAGGGGAAGCAAGGCACTTTCTTTGGGAGGCTGAGGTGGGTGGATCACGAAGTCAGGAGTTCGAGACCAGCCTGGCCAACCTAGTGAAACCCCGTCTCTACTAAAAATACAAAAACATTACGCTGGTGGACAGTACATCCCAGCTACCTGGGAGGCTGAGGCAAGGAGAATCACTTGAATCTGGGAGGCGGAGGTTGCAGTGAGCTGAGATCATGCCACTGCACTCCAGCCTGGGTGACAGTGCAAGACTCCATCTCAAAAAACTAACAAACAAACTGCTGCACTTTCTTCACAAAGCAGCAGGAAGGAGAAGTGTAGAGCGAATGGTGAAAATCCCGTTAGAAAGCCATCAGATCTCGGCCGGGCGTGGTGGCTCACGCCTGTAATCCCAACACTTTGGGAGGCCAAGGTGGGTGGATCACCTGAGGTAGGAGTTTAAGACCCGCCTGGCCAACATGGTGAAACCCCATCTCTACTAAAAATACAAAAATTAGCCAGGTGTGGTGGCGTGCACCTGTAATCCCATCTACTCCAGAGGCTGAGACAGGAGAAACGCTTGAACCTGGAAGGCAGAGGTTGCAGTGACCCGAGATCACACCAGTGCACTCCAGCCTGGGCGACAGAGCAAAACTGTCTTAATAAATAAATGAATAAATAAATGAGAGAGAGAAAAGAAAACCATCAGATCTCACCAGAATTCACTCACTTTCGTGAGAACAGCATGAGGGAAACTCCTCCATGATCTAATCATGCGGTCCCTCCCCCAGTACATGGGGATTACAATTCAGATTATAATTCAAGATGAGATTTGGGTGTGGACACAGGGCCAGACCATATCAAACATCTCCTACACAAGGTGACCCTTAGAAGCCGACTCCCTGACTGGAAGAGAGAGAAAGGGAGAGTGTGGGTGTCATCACTGCATAGCACAGAATATTCACACAAGCCCACAGGGGTATGGGGTTATTGTGGGTGCTTCAATATTTGAGTTTTTATCCTTCTGCTCTCCCAGAAGACTCAGTGATCTGGAAAGTAGAAGATGCATCCTGGAATTTAAAACCTGTCACAAATGTATTTGGGAGAAAACTTCATGCTCCTATAAGGGTTTGCCTTCCAGGAAAGAAGGAACATGAGACTATAATACCAATGAGACTGCAAAATGACTGTAGTGATGGAACAAAAGGACTCTAGTGTTGACCATGATGTTATCTGAGGAGGTCATACAGAGGAGCCTTCAGAAAGGAGCTGCAGGGGAGCTTTCCAACCTCCACCTCTGGGGGCTGACCCAGGAGGGTTCCCCTAAGGGTGAGTTCCTGGACCTATAGATTGTGGTGGAGGGGGCATGAAATTGTTCATCCTTGACCACTGAATCCTTCTTTAACCAGTCTTATCGGAAGGAAAGACACAATTAGAGTTTGGGAAAGGGGTGAGAAATGGCATTCAAGAGAGCATGTCTGTATGATTTTGTATGTCAGAACTTTCTATAACCAGGCATTTTGAACTTTTAAAACTATATATGTATATAGGTATGCAATGGAGTCAGGAAGGAGCTCAAGGAAGAGGGACAAGGACTCAGATAAGTGGCTGAATAGACCCAGGCAAGGATGTAAGAGTGGGTTCTTGTTCCTTGTAAATTAATTCTGCTCCCTTTTCCTCCCACTCTTGGCTCTACCCCACGTAAGTATCTCCATCCAGCTGAGCATTACCCCTTTTTAGCACTGTGTCCACTTCAACTTCTGGCTCTCACCTTGAGGCCAAGTCCATTTCCTGCTGGAGAATCCAGTCTCATTCATATCATCATTTGGCCACAATTCCTGAAGCATTGCTGCACGTACCTTCTAGTAAAAGGAAAACAGCTAATATAGCTCTTTCTAAAGACATGACTTGAGTTCTGGAGACACAATTTGTTCTAATATACAAGACAGATGGGAAATACACACTCTTAGTGATTGCCTGAGTCACCAACATTTAGAATGTTTCCTTTCAGCAATTGTCACTATGGGGAAAATGCATCACCATTCAGGAGTGTGTGAAGGACAAGCAGTCACAGAGTAATAGTCAGACACTCTCAGAGCCCAGTCATGGATTAAAACCAAAAGGCACAGATACAATCTTATTACTACAAATTTTGCTTATAAATGACATCTGTTAATTTTTTCCCCATTAGTTCTATATTAGTCACCTTGGGCTACCATAACGAAAAGTCATAGTTTAAACAACAGAAATGTATTTTCTCACAGTTTTGGAGGCTGAGACTATGAGATCAGGGTATCCACATGGTTGCATTCTGGTGAGGGCTCTTTCTGGCTTGCAGATGGCTGTCTTCACACCATGTCCTCCTATGATGGAGAAAAAGATAGAGCAAGCTTTCCAGTGTCTCTTTTTATAAAGCGCTAAGCCCATTGTGGCAGTCCTGACCTCATGACTTAATAGAACCCTAATTACCTCCCAAAGACCACATCTCCAAATAACATAACATTGGGGATTTCAGGACTTTAACACATGAATTTTGGGGAGACATACATTCAGCCTATAGCAAGCTTGTTATCCCATATGCATTTTTTTAACAACAAATTTTAACTGCATGTTTTCTAGAGAACAACATTTAAGCCATTCTTTATAGAGTATCTTCTCTGTGTCACAGAATTTTGCCATTTAATGAATGGTTTCAGGTGATCGTGACTATATTTAAACTTTACCTTATACATGGAAGCAAAAAAAAGAGTATGTTGTATTATCATTGTGTCTTTTAAAATAATTTCTATTTTTAATAACTAGTAAAAAATGCTGCAATACAGGCATGGAAGGTGGAATCAAATATGTTTTTAAGTAAAACAAAATGTATTTTACACATGGTAACATCAAACTTAAGCTACACTTACAAATTTCAGTTACCTTATATACGAAAACTTACGCTGAGTGGCCTGAAATAAGGTCATTATACCCTGATGCTTTCACAACCTTCTCCTTTTCTCTGTAACAAGTGCTCACTATTATGGGAAGAATGCCTGCCTTTTCTTTGCAGCTTTGCAGAGCTTTAAGGAAGCAGGGTTTTTAATCACACTCTTCTTTTCTTGCTTGCACTTCTGACTTCTCGGAGTTGGCAGCAGAATTTTAAGTTCATCTCAGAGATAGCACCGCTTTTTAACCTTGGACAGTTTAAAAGTCTCTACCAGGGCATTTCTAGGCATTTTATTGCTTCATTCCTTTATTCTCATGTCAAAGACAAGTGGACTTGAGCCAAAAAACAAAATTAGAGCAGAACCCTTACTCTATTTCCAGATCAGCTAAACCAATTAATAAAATTTAATTAAAACTTATTTTCTTTCTTTTCTGCAGAAGGGTCTCAGAGAGCAGCTGTTGTGATCGGGTTTTCAGTATGTGGCTCCAGATAGATTTAACTCTTACTGGGACACTTTCCAAATGAGATATACAGCATGTGACACTACTAATTGACTTTACCTTAAATTTCCCATGTGGTACCCTAGCAAACTGCCTCTTGAAATTATATATATTCTTAATCTGTAAAGGGGGAAAATTGATTGCATTCCCACTTTTTTCCTTGGGGTTTAGTATTTCATAGGACCAGTGCTTACAATAAACTTTTCATATTTAGCAGGTGTCAACCAATTCACTTGGAGAAATGCAAAGTACTTAAGCTACAATGAAAACTGTCCTCTACAAATGTCACAGGATGTGTTTTTACCTTGAACTTGAGTAAAAATTTACAAGACTAATGATCCTCATTTTCTCTCCCATTATGTTTAACTTTGAGCATTCTCATAAGTTAAACATAATAGTACTGACAAAATAATCTCTGATTCATTGGGGTACAAAGAAACCCAGCAAGAACTTCCCTGTCAGCTGCTTTCCCATGTTTACCTCGGGGTTTCTAGAGGTTCCTCCTGGGATTCAGCCAGCTGTAGGGACAGAGTTCAACGTTCTTTCTCAAAAGCACCCAGTTGTAATTTACTTCAATGCTCTCTTTCACCCCTCTTTGCCCTTCCCTAGTCCATGAAATCTTTACTGAAACTAGAGTAGGGAGAGATGCTCTTTGTGTCAGTTAGAACTGAGTTTGGCTGCCAGCAACAGACACTCCCAAACAGAGGCTTAAACAATTAAGTGGCTTATTTGCTCATGTAGAAGTCTGGAGATGGATAGGCTGGGCTGATGCCACAGCCAAGGACACCACAGGGGCTCAGGTACTGCATGTACTTTTCTGCTGAATTGATGGAAGGCTCATGGATACAGGACAGTTCTAGAAACTCCACATATCCCATCCATGTTCCAGGCAGGAAGAAGGAGGACAGGAAAGATAAAGAGAGAGGACAGAGGTCTCATGACAGAAGAGTCTGTACTATATTTGAAAGATTTCCAGGAAGCCTCATCTAGTAATTTCTGTATACCTTCTTAGAGCTTCAGCTAAGTACAGTGTAATCTGGGAAGGTGGGCAGTTCATCTTGACACAATGGTTCACCCAAATAAAGGTGGGGTTCTTATAGTAGCAAAGATGAAAACATTTATATTTAGTATGAAATTAGTTATCTCTGTCACAGTCTACCACTTTGGCTACCCAATGTTCACTCACACACATGTTTATTCTAGTATCCTGCCACTTTGTAAATATTATAAAATGTATGGAGACATACTTGTCATAATGATTGAGGAGCATTTAGTGTATAGGGGCTAGTGACGTATGATTCCACTAGCATTTAGTGTATAGGAGCTAGTGATGTCAATGATTCTGAATAATGAGTTATCTCATCTAGAATCCCAATATTGACTGCTGTTAAGAAACACTGTCAAACAATAGGAATATTGTTTCTGTCCCCAAAGGAGGTGATATCCTA